AGGGGTTTGGGTTTAAGGGGTTTAGGGTTTAAGAGTTTGGGGGTTTAGGAGTGTAGGGGAGGCTTTAAGGGAAGGGTTCCAGGGTTAGGGTCTAGGGTTGTAGGGAATTTGGGTTTCGGGCTTTCAGGTTTCAGGGTAAAAAAGGTTTTGGGTTTGGGGCTTTAGTGGTCTTCTTAGGGTTTCGGGGTTTAAGGAACTTGGTAATGAATATGGAGACGCTAGGTTCCTAGTATGGTAACTGAAATCGTATTCCTTAGCAAGAGCCTAAGGACCTAGTTCCAGTGTCAAAAAACAGAACCCCGAAACCCTAAACCCTAAACCGTGTGAGGTATTGAGGATTTAAGCTGCCGTCTGAATGACTCGAATAGGACTGCTTTAATATAGGGGCCTTAAGGATTAGAATAGGGTTTGGGGGCACATTATACTCTAATTATACTACGGAGCCCCCAAAACCTATTCTAATTATTAAGGCCCTTACGCACGGGTTCCATACTGGCGGGGTTTATGGCACAGAGTTTACATTTCATGGAGTGTCTAGGGGGCTGGCTTTCGGATTTGGCATTGGTCTCGAAATCTACAGGTTCAACCCTGATGCCTTGGGTAATAACACAATATCCCAGTATAGGCCCTCTTAGACTCATTCTATCACATACCCCTAATTATCGAATTATTCAGGTACCATATATGTGAAGCCCTAACCCCGTGTGTTTTATTGAAGCAAATCCTAAGCTTTAAGCCCTTAAACCCTAAACCGAAAAGCGGCTTATGGCTATCCATAATCCCGAGCTCGCTATCCGTGGTGCCACAGATTGTGCACAGCCACATAAGCAATGTGCCGCGACTAGCAGATCAAGAGGCTTGTGACTTGGACCACGGGATCATAACCACTCTCAGACCACCTTACTGCACATTTCACGCACCGAACTTTGTTGTACACCATAAGTAAGTCACATCAACCCGAAACCCAGAATAAACATCAAATCCTTAAACCCCCAGCCGCCCCCCCTAAACTCTACCACCTTAAAGACTTTGGGTAACAACACCTTAAGTAGCTTAAAGAAATCCCCAAAGAAACCCTCGGCAACACCTTAAGGAACCCGTGCAGGAACCTTAAACGGGACACCCTATAGGTGCTGGTCCACGGTCGGCGGCTTCTCTTGACGCTGCCACCCGGAAAAGGCGCAGGAGCTGCGAACCATTGGCTTTGTCGAGATGTCATAGGTTTAGGGTTTAGGGGTTAGGTTTGTCATGCTTCGCAGTGTTATGGAAGGCTCTGCAGGGCCCAAGTAGTAAAGGAAGGGTCAGAGTAAGAGTACGAGTGAGACCAGTTGTATGGTATAGTCTAGTAGACAAGAATAGAGTCGGAAAGAGTATAGTCTAGGACAGGAAAAGTCAGCATAGCATAGCATTGCTTAGCACCCTGCAGCACAGTATAAAATCATATAGCAAACTAAAACATATTGTAGCGCAGTAGCTTAGCACAGGATAGTGGCATGGCACATAAGCTATAGCATATAGCACCTTGCACATATCGCATGTATCGCCCATAGCATTTAGCATAGCGTATATAGTCTACTGCATTCGTTTTAGTACCTAGCATGTAGCCTCTAGCATATCGTAATATATCGCATCTAAGCATGTGGCATATAGTCTAGCATCCAGACTGGCCAAGGAAGCCTAAAGATGCGATTAAGGTGGGGGGGGCTTAAAAATGAGAAAAGGGTTTTGGGGAATTACTATACTATTGTTCTAGTCAGGAAGCCCCAAAACCCTATTCTACATGTTAAGGCCCCTACATTAGGCAAGGCATTTGTTGGGAGCAGGGTTTCCAATCCTGGAAATCCCTTGTGCTGCCGGTTTAGGGTTTAGGGGTACATTTCGTGGTGTAGGGTACCCTGCGCACTTTTTGCGGTCGGCAATCTCCCAGACGGGATCCTGGCGTGCACCGCGATCACTTTTCGGCTCGGGTGCAAGCGGAACCGTGGTTCTGCAAAGGTGTTACAAAGTTTTCTGTGCTGTCATAAGTGTTGTATAAGCTTTCTTATCAGAGTTCTTTGAGGGATTTTACTAGATAAATCACTGTGGGCGCGAACTACGCCAAATCGCACGTAACGGAACAGGCGGGAGTACGACCGAATCACGACTCAAACCCAGACCAAGAGTATACTAACTGACAGTCACTCACTTGTAGGTTCGCAGATATGAGTAGGAAGTTGCATTCAGAGCTCCAGAATCCACCCTCTGCTGTCTCATGGCCTCGATCTGTGTCGAAGTCAGCCTACTGAGCGGCAGAACGGCAAAGATCACCCGAGAAGCCCAATGCTCCCTTGAGGAGTTCAAACAAGAGGCCAGGGGTTTAGAGTTTAGAGTTTGCCTAGACCGGGCTGCTGGACAACGAGGCCTGTTGCAAGCAAAAAGGTTCTGGGAGAGGCTCTTTTGCTCAATTGAAAAGTTCAGCTAGGATGCAAGCAAACCATTGTATCAAACAGCAACAAGCTGAAGCACGCGAATTCGATTCCGGTGGGCCGGTAGATACAGTACCCAACAACACCGAAGGGGTGCAGACTATACTGCAGTGTCAGGATACTATGTCAAAGCTCGTCGGCCGTGTTTTCTACAGTAGGGCAGAAATATTTAGACCCGGAGTGTCATAAGTAATGATAGGTTAAGTTATATTATCCTTTCAACCCATAATCCCGTGCACCATCGCTGTATTGTTACCCCACAGCTATAACCCCCAAACTTAAAGGGTAAGTAGAACCCTTATCGAAAACTGTATAAAGTAGAAGCCAGAAAGTTGGAACATCATTATCTTCATGCCCTCAAGGTAAAGTATAAGGTATCCTAGCACTAATCATCCTAAACCCATGTTCCAACTTTCTGGGCTGCACTGTAGGAATCCTAAACCCTAAACCCTAAACCCTAAACCCTAAACCCTAAACGAAAACCGTATAGGAACAGCGCGCTTAGCAGCGCTTAAAGGAGGCAGAGACCGGTCGCCCGACGGGCCTTGGAGACTCCAATATCCCTTAATTAAGGAGTATACCTTAAATCATGTTAGGGATCCTATGATAATTTAAGGTATAATTCCTTAATTAAGGAGTATACCCTAAATCATGTTAGGGATCCTATGATAATTTAAGGTATACTTCTTTAATTAAGGGGTTTTGGAGTCTCTGGGAGGCCTTGGAGACTCTGGAGATGTGCGCCGGGGTGCTGCTGACCACTTCCGGCGAGCTGCTGTGCCAGGGAACCCTTGAGGGAGCCGGCTTGAAGGTGGGGTCTAGGGTTTAGGGTTTCGGGTTCAGGGTTCAGGGTTTAGGGTTTAGGGTTTCGGGTGGGAGGTGTTGTTTTCGGACTTCGAACGGTGTAGTTTGATATACAGGGGCCTTAATAATTACCGATAATATTTTGGGGTTCCTCATTACAATTACGGTAAAAATACGCCAAAACCCTATTCTAATTGTTAAGGCCCCTACATTATGTGTTTGAGCTTTTCGGGTTTGTCGGTTTAGTTGACCTGCGGTTTCGCAGGCCTGCGGTGAAATCTGGCAATCACTCCTGTAAGAAAGGCTTGGGATCCGTGGTGGTGGCAGTCCCTTATCTGTTTATACGCTACATCCCAACACCCTACTGTGATAAAGAAGGCCCCTATATAGCCTGGAATTCGATGCAAAACGCCTCATTCGGGTTTAAAGGTTTCAAACTTACCCAGAGTAACCAATGTACCTTTCAAAACGGGATATTGCCCTTGAACATAGGTATATGAACTTTTTGTTCACGGTACCTTGGTTATATGCAGTATGTACAGCTAATTAACCATACGGAGAAGGCATTGAAAGCCTTTCAAAATAAGGTGCCCTTTTGTTCAAAGCTTTGGAGGATGGAGATGTGGTCCTACTGCAGCAGCGGCAGGCCGACATCTTAGATTCCTTGGAGCTTGACTGTCAGCTCAGCCATCGCAGAGGAGCCTCCATACAGGCACCCGAACGGTTCGCGATTCTGGACCTGGTGGCACAAGGAGGGAATAGGAGGGACTGTCAGTTTTTCTCAAGCAGAAGGTGGTTGATCCGAGTTTGGGTGAAAGGTATCAAATAGATAGCGCTGCGAAAACATGCTTCGGAAGCAGCAGGTGCGTATGGCGTGGTGTGCTCGGCTCGCGATGAGATCACGGCTGACATGGTTGCCATCAAGAAGATGCGGGCTTTCGAATCGAACATGGGAGCTTTAGATGTTGAGACTCTACGCAACGCACGACAGGAACTCAAGGAGTTGAGGCTCTTGCGACACTTCCATCACGAGAACATCCTTGATTTGAGATACGTTTTCTTCCCGGGTTCCAAGATGACTTTTCAGCACCTCTACTCTGTCTCTGAGCTTATGGAAACAGACTTGCAAGCAATCCTCAAGAGCTCCCAGAGTCTTCTTGACCAGCACTGCCAGTTCTTCTCCTACCAAATTCTTCGGGGGCTGAAGTTCATGCACTCTGCTGGTGTGCGTCATCAAGACTTGAAGCCGCGAGTGTTGCTGGTGAACCGCAACTGCGACTTGAAAATCTCAGGCCTCTCGCTGGCCGCACTGGGTCTTGAGGAGATAGGCGAAGGCCTCCCGCGCTACGACGAATATCCTTATGTCGCCAACCAGTGGTACCGAGCACCCGAGGCTGTCTTTGGCAGTAAAACCTAAACCCTAAACCCTGAACCCTACACAGCCCTAAACCCTCTATGCCCGAAGCCCCATCAGCCCCATTTAATTTAAGCCCTAAGCCAAAGAAACCCTCAAAGCCCCAGACCGTGAAGATAAGAGGCGCTTTGTCATTGTACCGGAAATGTATATGGCCCTGCCATCGATATCTGGGGGGTCGGAGTGATTCTTGGCGAGATGTTCGCACGTCGGCCCGTTTTTCCTGGAAAGAACGTGCAGCACCAGCTGACATTGATTCTAGGCTCCCCAGTGGTACCCTTTTGCCCTTTTTCTTTTGGGGTTCCCTAATTAAAAGCCAATACTAGGAAAAAGGGTGCCCTGAACACGAAACCCTAAACCCTAAACCCTTATTATTAAGGGGCTACTGGGCAACCTAGGATTCTGCAGGGCTTGGGCCTCAGGAAGGAGGAATCATCTCTGAGTTGGATCAAGAAACCAGAGATGCGGAAGTTTCTAGGTGGAGTTTAGGGTTTAGGTTTTGGGGTTTAGGAGCTTTGGGATACTTGTTTATGGTTCTATAGAGGTAGCTTTTCATAAGTACTTCTGGGAGCCCTGACAGCACAACCCAGGTTTGTGGAGTCACTAACCCCGTCGGTGAACCGCAAGGCTTTCTGCGACGCCTTGGGTCCCATCTCGCCTTCGGCGATGCTCTGTCAGAGTTGGGTAGCAGTTTACACCATGTGGGTACTTAAAAACTCAACGAGGAATGGGCAAAACCCTGAAAACCCAACCATGTCTGGCAGAGTCCGAGTTGCGAGAGCGCCGAAACCAAGCCATGACCTACTTAGTTCTCCAATACCCAACCTTTAAACTTTTTGGGTTCGTATAGTTTAGTAGTAATCTGAAAGTTTAACCTTTTTATTTTCCTGGCTTATTGGGGAAGTAAGCCTAGGATGGAGCTTTTGGATGCCCTGCTGCAGTTTGATCCTCAGCAGCGGGTCTCCGCCGAGCAAGCCTTGAACTGGAGACCTCGCAGTTTGGGGTTTCGGGTTTAGGGTGTGGCGGTTTCGGGTTCAGGGTTTAGAGTTTCGGGTTTCAAGTTGGTTCAGGGTTTGGGGGTTTAGGGTTTAGGGCTTGGGGTTCAGTGATGTTTAGGGTCTATAGGGTGAAGTCTCCGTAGAGCTCTAGTTACGCGAATTGGTAGCTTACCAACCATAAATAACTATGTATCCCACGTAACTTATTGTTTAGGTAACTGGAGCCCTAGGGTTCAAGGTTTAGGCATAAAATCACTAGGCCCATCAGTCAGCCGGCCGAAAGTTGATGCTCCGTGGCCATGCTGCCAACTGAATCCCTAGCATCAACATAGCCCAAAAGCCTTATGTAATAGGGTCTTTGGGCCCAAAAGCCTTAAGATATACCCTAAACCCTAAACCCTAAACCGAGTCCTTTTGATGGTAAGGGAATAACAGAGGAGCTACTTCGGCGAGTTTGCGGGCACGGATCTGCGCTGTCCGGAGGACATGGCCAGCTCGGAGAAGACTAACACTGCATGCGCTTGTTTAGGGTTTCAGCTGCAGGGTGTGTGATCCACCCCTTAACATCCTGCATCCTGAATCGGAACCCCAGCACCCTAAACCCTAAATCCTAAACCCTACACCCTACACCCTAGTTTAGCGTTTAGTAATTAGGGTTTAGGGTTACCCTAAACCCCTAAACCCTACACCCTACGCGGCGGATCTTTGGAAAGGCGGTATCGTCTCTCCACCGACAGTGGGTGGCAGCCAACCCGCACTGGGAGGACCCTCCCCCTCGTCACTCCACGGTGGGTGACCCCGAGGCGATGCACAGGAACAAGGTGGTGTTAAGTGCAAAACACCTCCTCGCAGCTCGGCAGAGGTTGAGCCAGACCCTGTACCCGCGTCAGATGCCGAATCGCCGGACGAGCCAGAACATACACCCGCGTTTGACGCCGGACCGCCGGTCTGCTCGCACAAGCGAGTCCTTCGCCGGCAAACCTGGAAGGCGAAGAGAAAGCATCACCGCGGCCGAGACACTGCTGCATCCGTGAAGATGAAGGATGGCAGAGTGGTCCATCGATGTGGCACCCGGCGCTGCTGCCGACCGCCGCCAGCTGGCGCAAGGCAGGCCGCCCCACGGGCACAGAGCAATCATGACGTCGCGACCACATGTGTCCTGCCGACAAGCTCGCCACAGGTGCAACGCCGTGAACGCAAGAGCCCAGATGGTCGCTTCATGCGACGCCACGCCCGGCAAGGCCTCGCGCGACGTAGCGAGGACTCGCCGCCGGGCTTCGGCGTCCGTCCGGCTGTCGGGAATGCGCAGGCTGGCGGCAGTCGCTTCTTCCTATCAAGACGCGAACGCAACCGACGTCAGCACGCTCTGAACGGGAACATGCCGCGGTCTCAAAAGGATGTTTGGCCGCGCCTGCGGCCGTCGAATCCTGTCATCGTGGAACTGGACCTGGAGACTGACGAGAGGATCTATGAGGACCACGTGCAGAGCCCTTCCCTTACGTAAGAAAATCTGGTTGTTGCCGAGATTCCCCCTGCACAGTCGAGTCTCGAGAAGATAGACGTGAGCACGGAGTCCACCGAGGATCCAGTCTATGCCAAGCCTGACACTGCGGAGTTGCAATCCGTGTCGATGAAATGTGCCCAGAACTGCAACGTCTTGGATAGATTGCATCAGTTGCGGAAGCCTCCTGCACACGAAGCCGCACGTCCTTTGATAGTCGATCCCAGCTATCCTCGTATGGAGGCTCCAGAGGACGTGGAAATCTTCTCGCCTACTGAGGTCTTTCCGTCATCTGTTCAGGGACCAGACATCACCGTGCGTGGAATGGCTGCGGATCCAGATGCTGAGGAGCGAATTTCACTTGCTGGCCTATAGACGGGGTTA